GTGTTGCTTTGAATACTGCACTTTAAAATCTGCTCTGTTGTTAAGTAGAAAAGCAGGATGCAAATATTTTAAATGAAAGAATTCTCTAAACCAGAGGTAGAATATCCCCAAATCTGGGTTCCATTGATACAAAGGACATGTAAATGATATGAACACATTGTTCACTCCATCGGTGCCTCCGTCCATCAGTGCTTCAGATATAGTACATACTCTAAACCCCCACTCAACAAAAAAAATATGAAATAAGCCCTCCAGTAACCCAAAGATTACTGTCTTCGACAAAGATTAAGGATTGTGTCAGTGGTGGGTTTCAAAATTTTTTAATACTGGTTCTGTGGGCGTGGCTTGGTGGGTGTGGCATGGCTTGGTGGGCGTGGCTTGGTGAGCGTGGCAGGGGAAGGATACTATAAAATCTCCATTCCCACCCCACTCCAGGGGAAGGTTACTGCAAAATCCCCATTTCCTCCTGATCAGCTGGGACTTGGGAGGCAGAGAATAGATGGCATGAGGCCAGTCAGAATTTTTACTACCGGTTCTCTGAACTACTCAAAATTTTTGCTACCGGTTCTCCAGAACTGGTCAGAACCTGCTGAAACCCACCTCTGGATTGTGTGTTTGTTAGTAGAATTCACCGGGTTAGGGATTTTTTTTCTTTTACTGTCTTTCACTGTGAGTTGTATTGGGTTGGGGGGCAGTGTACAAAGGGAAGCTCCACCAATCTCACTGTACACATCATATACTCTGACAATAAAGGTTTGAATTGAATTGATAAAGATTTGAATAAATGGAGGACATCGTAGTGCAGTATTTCTCAACCTTGGCAATGTGGACTTCATCTCCCAATATTCCCCAGCAGGCATGGTTGCCAAGGTTGGGAAGCAGGGCTACAGTGGGTTATATTTAAACTATTCTCAGGATTGTGCATATGAAGGCAATGGTGAGGACACTGACACTCTAATATCCATCTGCAAAAGGATAAAAAGTTTAAGACTGCTGGCCATCTATGTCAGTGGTGGGTTGCCCCCGGTTCGGACTGGTTCTGTAGAACTGGTAGTAAAACCAGAGGGAGGCTCCACCCACCCATCCTGACATCATCAAAAAGCGTCTGCGCATGCACAGAAGAGCGCACGTGTGCGTGAGCGAAGCAAGCATGTGCTCACGGCCCTGTTGCAAACCGGTAGTAAAGGTAAGTAGAACCCACTCCTGATCTATGTAATAGGGAAACATGTAGATTTTAAACCTGAACTGTTTTTATTAGGTATGATATCAGAAAAAAATTGATAAGAGAAGTATGTTTTCAGCATTACATGTTTTAGCAGCAGTGAGGATTATCTTCGCACAATATTGGAAAGAGGAAGAAACACCTCAAGATGAAGTGATAATTAAGAAGATATTAAACTGGTATCCATTAGAAATGGATAGACTTACATCGAAAATAGAACAGAAGGAAGACACAGATTATTATCAAACTTGGAATTTATTTTACCAGTGGTTGGGGAAAAAAGGGGGGAGAGTAAGAATGGCATTTGTATTGTTAAGCAAATTAAATACCCAGACAACACACGGTGTTTATTAAGCACTAAGGGATGTAATTAATAGAAAATTAATAAAATGTATTTTTTTAAAAAAGGACTGCTGGTTGGTAAAAGCGCTCCATGGCCGATGGTAGAGTAGTAAAGGATATTTTTTATCACTTCCAACTACAAATTGGAGATCGCCTGATGGCTATAATAGTAACAATGGCTGTATTAGTAGCAAAAAATTATAAGAATATTAGTATTCTTATAAAGGCAATAAGGGTACAGTAATGGATTTCTTGTTTTAAAAAAAATTCATGTCAGGGGGGAGGAGGAGGAGGAGGAGGAGGAAGAAGAAGAAGGAGGAGGAGGAGGAGGAGGAGGAGGAGGAGGAAGAAGAAGAAGGAGGAGGAGGAGGAGGAGGAGGAGGAGGAGGAAGAAGAAGAAGGAGGAGGAGGAGGAGGAGGAGGAGGAGGAGGAGGAGGAGAAGAAGAAGAAGAAGAAGAAGAAGAAGAAGAAGAAGAAGAAGAAGAAGAAGAAGAAGAAGAAGAAGAAGAAGAAGAAGAAGAAGAGGAGGAGGAGGAGGAGGAGGAGGAGGAGGAGGAGGAGGAGGAGGAGGAGGAGGAGGAGGAGGAGGAGAAAAGAAGAAGAAGAAGAAGAAGAAGAAAAAGAAATAATACTACCAAGCTTTTGAATACCACCCAATCACCGAGACTCAAGGGAGTTGATGACAATGAAATGCAACAAGCATAAACATCTAAACATTCTTCACACACACCCCAATCCACAAAAATCCCATTAACTTAAAAACACATGTTGTTGTTCCCAGCATTTGTTCTGCTTAGTTACAAGGATTGCTTATTTCGAATTGCATTCGCTGCAGTTCACGTACCAAAGTGAGAAAAGGGTGTTTGGTTTTCAGTCAGCTTGTCTCAGAGACAGATGCTGATTTGGGCTGAAAGGGGGGGACCGACCGGCCCCAAACCACCCAGCCAGTTTCCATGCCTAAGAGAGGATTAGAAACTGGGTCTCTCTCCTCCAACTCCAGCACCTTCACCGCTACATCCCATCAGATCTTTAACTTAAAAACATAATCAGGGTGAAAATCCTGAAAAAAAAAATGGCAGCCCATAAGTCTGTCAGACTTAATCATTCTAGGCTTTTATAAAAATCAAGCAGAATGACCACCAAATCAGTGGTGGGTTTCACCCGCCTGCCCCCCTGCCCCCCTGCCCCCCTGCCCCGGCTCTATGCTGTCCTATTTAGGCATGTTTTTGAGGCCAGGTGCATGCGCGGAAGGGGTGTGTGCAAGCAAAGCACATGCACAGAAGGCTGGGCGCATGCACACACCAGTGGTGCGTTGCCCCCTGTTCGGACCAGTTCGCAAGAACCGGTAGTAAAACCAGCGGGAGGCTCCGCCTACCGCCCTGGATATCGTCATCGGCGATCTGCTAATGCACAGAAGCTTCTGGGCATGTGCAGCGCGATCCCGTTGCGAATGGGTAGTAAAGGTAAGTAAAACCAACCCCTGGCACATGCTCTCACATTTTCGGTGCTGGGTGAACCGGTAGGTAAGTTATACGAATCCCACCTCTGCTCCAAACCTCTCAGACAGCCGGAATGCCATGATTGAAAGCATTACATGCTGCCAAAAAAAGTGAACAACATCTCTCCATCCAGATCCTGGCACGTGCCCAATGCAATCCAGCATCTGTGCCTGTGTTTGAGCTCTGACTTTAAATCCTCTGTAGCGGAAATTCAGCCATTCCATTAAATGTTTTCTCCAGAAAGACAAGATCGGAGATTGGGTGGAAGTCAAAACCAGATGGTTTGAAAGATGGTGTTTTCAAGCGGGGGTACCAGATTTCATAATTTCCAGACCAAATCACTCTGGATTCCTTAACTAGGCTTTCAGCTTTACTGCCTGCGTGAAAGCATGATTTGTATGGAGACGTACAAAAATACAAACAATGCAAAGGACACCATCAGCGATTAGTACTGTGTCACCTAACTTTCTCCAATCTAGTATTGTACCCTCCAGATGTTCTGGATTACACTTAGCCTTGGAATTCTGGGAACTATAATCCAAGACATGAGCACATCTGGAAAGTGCGGAGGAAATTTTAAAAGAGGACAATGGATGTTTCTGTAACAGCACTGAATATGGCGAAGAACCCAACAAGAGAGAATGACTCAACTCTTTGAAAGGCTTCCAGAATAAACCAGCATATTAGCTGGCTTCTTTGTGCTTGCTTTTCCAATATAGAGACCTGTATTGTATCCAGGTCTAATTAAACTCCTGCTGAAATATTAAACCACATTTTCCACCTACCCTTTGGTTCATCTGTTGGGCATGTATTTGTTTGTTCTGCTAGCTAACACATCCAATATGTCTTTCAAATGAAAGTAAATAGCCAATTGACCCACTCAGACCAGCAGCTTGGAATTAATGCTGATGCTTCATTCCAGATTTGCTAATAATTACCAAGGCTTTAAGGATGGATGAGCTGCTTCTTGGCAGATGGCAATAGAGGAAAATTAGACCGGTGGGGCCTAAGGAAAGTCTCCTCGCCCCCCCCCCCCAAATAAGGGGTTTATCTTCAAATTACAGATCTTTTGCAGTTCATTTTTATTACCTGCCCAAACCTTACTTGCATGCCTCCTACATTCCTAAATGTTCCACATGCTATTTTCATCTGCACACATACAGTCTGGTGTTTCTCAACCTTATTAACTTTAAGGCGTGTGCATTTTTGCTTCACATGCTGGCTGGGGAATTCTGGGAACTGAAGCAGGGGTGAAATCCAGCAGGTTCTGACAGGTTCTGGAGAACCAGTAGTGGAAATTTTGAGTAGTTCGGAGAACCGGCAAATACCACCTCTGGCTGGCCCCAGAGTGGGGTGGGAATGGAGATTTTGCAGTATCTTTCCCCTGGAGTGGGGTGGGGATGGAGATTTTGCAATATCCTTCCCCCAGGAGTGGGGAGGGAATGGAGATTTAGCAGTATCCTTTCCCTGCCATGCCCACCAAGCCACACCCACAGAACAGGTAGTAAAAAAAATTGGATTTCACCGTTGAATTGAAGTCCACACATCTTCAAGTTGACATGGTTGAGAAACATTGCTTCTAGTCTTACACCACCACCCCTCCCTCCTTCCTGGTAGACCAAGGATTCTTTGCTTTTTGTCTCTATTCTGCAAGTTTGTTGTGCTGCAGGTTTAGCCTTTTAAAAGTTAAAGAGGTTAGATTTGGAATATAGAAAACAGACATGCCCAATCTTTTATTTTCCCAGATGGCTATCAGAAAAAGGGCAGGACAGGACCAAATTCGTGGTCAGGAATTCTTCCATTCAAATTCTTTATTAAATGATTGAAACTGCCTCCCCCCCCTCAGGATATAAGGTCAAAAGACCACCTGGGGTTCAACCACTGCAGCACCATTAATTTTTTTTCTGTATCATACACTCCTCTCTCACATTTGCAGGTGCTGTAAAGGGCAGGAGAACAGCAGTCTGTACCTTAAGAGTGTGGAAATGCTAAAGAAGGTGGTCAGAATTGGTAGCTGAGATTCTGTTATGCATCAGAGATGACAGAACAACTTGGGAAGACAGTCATGCGAAGGGAATAACACTTGTCAACCCAGTACAGGTAATCTTTGACTTACAACTACAATTGGGACTGGAAAGTCGGTCACTAAATGAGATATGCCTGATTTTGTAAAAAAAACCCCTTTTTTTTGCTACGATTGTTAAGCAAATCACTCAGTTGTAAGCAAATCTGGTATCCCTCAATGACAGAGGTCTTCAAACTTGGCAGCTTTAAGACTTGTGGACTTCAACTCCCAGAATTTTCCAGCCAGCTATGCTGGCTGGAGAATTCTGGGAGTTGAAGTCCACAAGTCTTAAAGCTGCCAAGTTTGAAGACCTCTGCTCAATGACTTTGCTTACCAAAAGCCGGCTAGGAAAGTCGCAAATGGTGATCACCCCAGGATAATGCAACCATCATAAATACATGCCAGTTGCCAAGCATCTCAATTGTGACCATGTGATTCTTGTAATAATTATGATGTGCAACTTGACAGTCTTAGAAATTACAGAGGCCTAAGTATATGCTTATAGAATATATATGACGCCATGATCAGTTGATAAACTCCTATAACAGTCAAGCCCCAGTCATCCTGAAGTTTTGTTAACAATGACCAGGTGTGTTTGGCTCCTATTTATTTGGTTTTTAAAGGCTGAGAAAGACATGTTTCTGAACTACTGGAAATGACTGGGATTATATACTGCACTATGTCAGGGTCCTTCAACACACAATATTCAATAACATTGATCTAAGCCATAAACCATGTTTTACATAGCTGTGTTAATGCTCATGTATGAGAAGAGATAGCACAGCTCATGATTACATATTTTTGTCTGACGTTAACGACAAATTTTTAATATCTGTTAATCTTTGTCCTTTGGTTTGCCTATTATATGAGGTTTGACAGCGTGCCAGTTTAAAACCAATCAAACTACATTACAGATTAGCCAGGTGTGTGAACCTGGTCCCTGTATTTTACAAGCCATAATTTATAGGTTAGTATTACATTGGAGTCAGGCCATTGTGACTGACACTCAACCAAGTGTTAGTGTACAATATATTCGACTGTTTATTCCTTTGTTGTTGAAGCTTATCTTGGCTTATTGTAGTTTATCTTAAAAAAATGAGGAAAACCCCCCACATCGTACTAATACATAATGTGGTTTGTAGCAGTGTGTGGGCCTGAATTTATGCTATTGTGTTTTACTCAGACCATGATTTAGCAAGTAAAACCATGCTGAACTAAACGGGCCAACAAAATGATATAGTACAATGATGGCGAACCAGTGGTGGGTTGCCCCCGGTTCAGACCAGTTCGCAAGAACCGGTAGTAAAACTGGTGGGAGGCTCCGCCCACTGACCCAGACGTCATCAAAGTTGATCTATGCATGGCGTTCTGGCCATTTTTCTGACCGTTTTCTGGTGCTCCAGCGCCTGCGAAGAGCAGCTGGTGACGGCACACATGTCCACAGAGAGGGCTCTGTGTGCCATCTCTGGCACGCGTGCCATAGGTTCGCCATCACGGATTTAGTATAAAGCACAATTTTTAAAGCTTTGCTACAGCCTTACTACTAAAACCTCAAAGTAGCTTATGTGGAGATCACCTTACATTTTATTCCCACAACAACAGTCCTGTAAGTAAGGTAGGTTGGGCTGAGAGAGTGACTGACTCAAAGTCACCCAGCCAGTTGAGTTTCCATGGCTGAGAGGAGACTTGAACCCAGATCTCTCCAGTCCTAGCCCAACACCCTAACTTCCCCATTGCACTGTTTACTAATGTAATCAAAGACTTCCTGTTGTTCTCCTCACCATCATTGTTGGAAGAAAAGGATCCTGGTCAACAGCTGACTAGGCCAGTGTAGTTCTACCTGAGGCATACAAGCTCTGTAAGATAATTCCTTGAGTAGTTAACCTCACTCCTAATCCGTGATTGAATTGCGGATATCAGAATAAGCTTCGGAATAGGTGTGTGCTCCTTTGTGGGATCGGTTCTTAGGGAGGAGAATCAGATCCTCTTCGGAACAATTCTCAGGCTTGTCAAAGGTTAAATAAATGCAGCGTTTGCTCATCCAGGTAAGTTACCTGTCAGGTTTGTCCAGTCATTTCCTGCTACGCTTGTGTCTTTTTAAGGATGTCTGGGTTGTTTTGCGGGCTACTCATTTCCTACTTGCCCTTTGTGGCTAATTAAGTGTTGCACAGGGTTCATTAGACTTGACAGGAACCTGGCAGAGCAGAGACCCTTTGACTTGGACAAGTCTTTGTGGAATCCATCATTAATAAATGAAGACTTTCTTTCTGGCTCCGAGCTTGATTCAAGTCTCAGCTGTTCTCTATTATTCCTCCTGAAATGTTTGCCTGCTGGCCATTTGGAGTTTGCTTGGTGGGAAAAAAAAAAGGGGGGGCGAATATCCTGCCAGAGCTTTCTTCTGCATTTTGGGAGACTGTTTTCTCATTCTGTTTGATGGCAAAGAAATTGGTTCCCATGTTGTTTTAGTGCAGAAAAAAATAGGGGTAAAATTCTCACAAGCTCTAGTATTGATTTCCCTTACTCGGAGGGTAGCCAAGTGTAGATCCTAATTTTTTTAATTCCACAGTTATCGCTCCAGCAATCTCCTTGGCTGCCCAGGTCTCTAAAGAAATCTCAGAGGCGAAAATCATAAGGGAACTACTATTCCCATGAAACTTTTTCCCAATCTTAGAAAGAGGGTAGATATGCAGGAATCTGCAAACAGAAAATGACAATAGCACCAGCATCCTTAATATTACAACAATGATAGGCACTCAAAAAAAGGCCACTTAAAGAAGTGGAAAAGAGATTTAAAAGCACCGGGTGAAGAAGATTTAAAAAAAACACACACCAATCTTTTCTCAAAGAAAATTTGGGGGGAAAACTTTGGAAGAAATTTGGTACACATTGGAAGGTATTCTATTTATTGATGTCTGGTTACCTTTAATGAACACGTGTATTTTGCCATCCTGATCAACAAGAAGTATTTCTGGTGCTAAAGAGCATATTCTAAATGTTAATTTTAAAAAGCTCCCATTGACAGTGGTAGCCAAATTTATCCAGCAAAGTGAGGCAACCCATAATTTTGTAACAACTATCCAATTATCTTGATCTTTGGGTTTGTAGCAGGGGTGGGTTCTACTTACCTTTACTACCGGTTTGCAGCGGGGCTGCGCACGAGCTCTTCTGCGCATGTGCAGAAGCATTTTGATGACGTCGGGGTCGGTGGGCGGAGCCTCCTGCTGGTTTTACTACCGGTTCTATAGAACTGGTGCGAACCGGGGGCAACCCACCACTGGTTTGTAGCATAAGACGTTCAACATTTTTCTAGGCAGAAGTTTCAGAGGGAGACATGAGTGTCCAAAGGGAGGGTGGGTCAAAAAGCTAGCGACCACAACCTTACAATCAACACTCCACCCCCTTTTTTTCTCTGGTTGTGGCACCATTTTAACCTTTGTGTTCCTCCGGCAGACACCCCTGGAGGAAGGGCAGGGCAAAAGGAAAAAGCTATCAGCTGTGGACAACATCCTGTTCATAGATATCGGTAGGGCACTTATGAATGCTTCCATTGGCATCCACTATTGCTACCCGTGCTCTGCTTGTAGCTGATTCTTTTTTCAGATTTTTGTAGGGCAAAATATTAAATGCAGAAGTGCAATTCTGCAAATTCACTAGCTTGCAACATCATCCTTCCTCTCCCCCGAATTTTATTTTATTGATTTAGTTTGTCAAACATGTACGAGAAAACAAGTATAAGTATAAATATAGACATGAACACGGGAAATGAGTATGAATAAATGAGGACGGTAGGACAGGGATATGGACCTCTTAGGAATGGGGTGGGCAGAAAAGCAATTCCCAGTCTAAAAAGAGTACTTTCAAGCAGTATTTTCTCCTGGGACTTGTTAGAGTTGGATGCATTCTTCTAGACCAGAGGTCTCCAACCTTGGCAACTTTAAGACTTCAACTCCAGCTTTGCTGGCTGAGGAATTCTGGGAGGTGAAGTCCACAAGTCTTAAAGTTGCCAAGGTTGGGGACCCCTGGTCTAGACTGCTACCTTTTTGAGTAGACAAGAAGCTCTCCAACTTTGCGAGCTAACCTTGGGGATAAGCGATCCCCAGCTTAGTGAAAATAACAAGTCAAAAGTTTCTGCCCTTCAGCCTGGACTCATATCTGCAAAGTGGGCCTATAGCTAACATAAGTGTTTTTATTGTAATATTTATATATAGTTTTTATGTTTTTGTGTCTATTTGTATACTTCCCAGTGGTTCTTTGAGGGAAATGGGCAGTCTCTAAATATAGATGAGAGAGGGAGGGAGGGGGGGGATAGGGATAGATAGATGATGTAGACAGACAGACAAACAGACATCATATGATGAACAGGTAAAGGAACTAGGTATGTTTAGCCTAACAAAGAGAAGGCTTAGGGGAGATAGCATTTTTCCAATACTTGAAGGACTGTCACAGGATAGAGGGCGTCAGTTTATTCTCTATAGCACCTGAAAGCAGGACAAGACGCTTATCAGAGGAACATCCAAGCTGGAAATAAGGAAGAATTTTCTGATAGTGAGAACAATTAATTAATGGAATAGCCTGCTTCCCTGAGTTGTGGATAAACACATCTTGATTGCTAAAGTCTGGATGTTCACTAGATGGCCTCAGAGGGATACAGAACAGCTGTTTGTTTGTTTGTTTGTTTTATTTTATTTATTTTATTTATTTTATTAATTTTATTAATTTATTTATTCAAACATGTATAACATAACAGATATAAGTATAAATATGATTATGAATACAGGAAATGGATATGAATAAATGGGGACAGTAGGACAGGGATGGTAGGCACGCTGGTGCACTTATGCACAGCCCTTACAGACCTCTTAGGAATGGGGTGGGGTCAACAGTAGACAGTCTAAGGTTAAAGTTTTGGGAGTTTGAGGATGTAACCACAGAGTCAGGTAGAGCATTCCAGGCACTGACCATTGCTGAAGTCATATTTTCTGCAATCGAGTTTGGAGCGGTTTACCTTGAGTTTGTATCTATTGTTTGCCCGTGT